TTTGAAATATTTTGCATTATGCAAAAATTTCTAAAATTTTTTTATAATGCAATAATTTTGAAATTTATTTTGCAATATATTGAAATATTTTGTATTTTACAAAAATTTTAAAATTTCTTTTACAATATTTCAAAATTTTTGTGCTATACAAAATCTTTCAAAATATTTTATATTTATAATTTTGCTAATATAAAGACTATAGTGAGTTTCTATTTCAATTCTTCATAAGCTTTCTGTTGTAGTTTATCCTATATATAAAGAATTTTTTTATATATTAGCTAATTTAGTCATTGTTCTATTTTAGAAAAGTTATAAATAAATTGTTGATAATATTCTACTAGTTTTAAGAATAAATATAGTTAGGTTACATTGCTAAGTAGTTAAATCTTTTGAACAGCTTCTATTTTTTGAAGGTTAGGTGATATTTTAATAAAGGTAACTATATGCCTTAAGAATAGTAAGCTTTGCATTTAAAAGTTATATTTTTCTAAGTTTAATCATAAACCAGCTTTTCTAATTCTAATAAAAGTTTGTCATAAATGTTCTAAATGTTTATCAAAGATCTTGAAGTATACTATAGTATTATTAAGATAGACTAATCAAATTTTCATGCAATATTTTGATATACTTTATTTATTAATCATTGAAAGATTGCAAGTGCATTACATAGTTCAAAAAGCATTACATTAAACTCATAAATATTATATCAAGTAACAAAAGCGGTCTTTTCTCTACTTGTGAGATCAGATGTAGAAAACTACTTAAATTCTTTTAAGATATTAAGCATTTTATTAATATGAGTTAAGAATAAACATCTTTTTTAATAATACTATTAAGTTTATAATAGTTAATACAAAATCATAATTTACTATTTTTTTTGAATTAATATAACTAGTAAGATCCAGAAGCTAGAGAAAGGTTATATAAGTCTATTATCAAGCATTTGTTGAATTTCTTTTTTAATAAATATCTGCTCTGTAAAAGAAAAAGAGTAAGGTTGAGGTCAAATAAGTGGTTCTTTTTCTGTATAGATTTAATAAGTTACAAGGTCAGTGCATCTTAATTCTATTTTATCTTGTACAAAAAAATTTAAAAACTTTATTAGCAGCTAGCTAAATTGTTTGTCTTGTTTAGCATCTAAAGATCTAATGTTTAATTTAGATAGTTCTGGACTAATACTATATTTTTTATATGAAATTATAGTGTCTATTGTAAAAACTTAATGCATTTTGTCTAATTCAACAGGTAGTTTTCTATTTTGCCTAAAATAATTTAAAAATTTAACTTTTCTTATTCTTAAGCAAGAGAAGTATATTATTGTTAAATGGTCTAAGTATTTTATTAGAATGCTTATAAAAAGGCCTAGATAAATTTTTCTAATATTCCTACCTTCTGTTAGAACTGTAGAAAAGTTGGTTCTGGGTTTTGACTTGTTGTTATAGTTGTGCAACTTGTAGTTGCAAGAGGTCTGGTTCTGATAAAATTGTATTATTAGTATTTAATAAAGAGTCTATCAATTCTGATATAGAAGATTTATAAATAGAAACTAATAAAGAAGCATAGTTCTAACAATATTTTTGATAGGTGTTTAATTCATCTTAATGCTTAACATGTAAACATTCTTTACAAAGGTTAACAAAAGCACTAAACAGTTGATAAAGATTAGAAATAACAAGCTAATAGTCAAATTTTGGATAGCTAATATTAAAAGACTTAGCCAAGATTTGTTAAAAAAGTTGTTCTTTTTTATAATCAAAAATAATCTGTTCAATTAGTAATATAAGGTTCATTTCTTTATATGTTTAAGATTAATTGATCTAATTATTTACTTGGAGTTTCAATACTTTAGTAATAATAAGATTTGTTTTTTACAAATAGATTTTAGCAAAATAGAAGATATGAGTCTGGTTCATTTTATACTAAGATCTAGCACTTTTGGTTGACTCAGTATAGTGTCTGATTTGAATTTACAAATTATAGTTAAAGTTGTAAAAGATATTTGTACTAGCTTTATAAGTATATAAATGTTCAAGTTCACAAAACTATAATTTCTTTGTAATACTTTTTAAATTATACATTCTGTTTCTAAATTCAACATGTTTGCATAATTTGCATTTGATCAAAGTTACATATCTATTACTTTGTATATAATAATATTGGCTTCTGGAATCAAGACTTTGGTAAAAGTTCTTTACAAACAAGAACTTTATCTAATTCTTATAAGGTTTTTGATCTTTAAGGGTTCTTGTAATAGCAGCAATAATAAATGTAATAATTACTATAAAAGTATTGTCTTTGAGTTTTAACTTTATTAAAGTTGCATTCATATTGATAGATTTGATTCTAATGCTTAAAAGGATTTAAAAGACAATTAACAGAAATATGTTCTATTAAGTTGTATTTATAACAAATAGTCTCAAAGTATTGTTGATATAGGTATTTAGAGCTTTGACAGTTTTTCCAAATTTCTCTTTGAGGAGCTTGTAGTTGGCAGTAAACAGCAATATAGCCTTTATGATAACATTAGTTGCAAGTATTTTGAGAGCAATTAGTAAAGAGCTAGTTAAAAATTTTACAGTTGTCTCAAATACAGGTTGAAGCAATTTGGATTTATTATTAAGGTTAATAGATGATCCATTTTTCATTGTCTGTTTCTAAGATAAATTTAGCAGTATATTCTTGTAAGAAATAAGATATTCTTGTTTATAAAGATCAAGCTTTTTGGAATCTATTACTATTAGTTGGATAAATAAAGCATAGTTACTTTTATAGGTTGTTGGCAGTGTTGTACATTGGATGTGTCCACACTATGTAAAATGTCTAATGTTCAAGATTGTCTAAAATCATCCAAGTCTATATCCAAAGTTTAAATAATCAATAAAGTATATTAAAAATATATATAATTATATATTTTTTTAGGGGCTGGATTCATTTATAAAAAAATTAAAATATATTATTTTAATAAAATTTTGAGTAATTTTAATTTAAAAAAATGTCCAAAAATGTCTATGTGACAATACTGATTGTTGGTATTAAAACCTTTTTGTTATTTTACTTAAATAAATAACAACTATTCTTTCAGTTATAACTGACATCAACTTTCTTAGACTAGTCATTACTAAAAAGAAGAAAGTAAGAGATAACAAAAATAACTTTAATAATGATTGAGATAGTTATTTTTTTAATTTCTACAGAGAGATTTAATAATTTTCAAAAGATATTTAGTAGTATCAGTTGCTGTAATAATTAGACTAGTAGAGACTTGTTCAATTTTAAGTTTTAATTCTTTGACAGTTTGATAAGCAATTATACTAATAACAGTACTACTATTGATAATAGCTTAGTAAGATCTGTTTTTAAGTTAAATATTACATTTTACTAAAGTAATATAAGTAAGTGATTAGACTAAGTTAGCATTTTTGGCTTTTTTATACAAATATATAAACATAATTGTATAAATAGAAGAATTGTCAAAAAACTGTTTTCATTTTTTTGGTGTTATAATAGAAAGAGCAAAAAGAGAATTTTTATAACCAAGATAGTTAACATCTTTGTAATAAGATGAAGATAAATGAAAACTAGTTCATCTTTTATTACTATTATAGAAGTCTGAGTATCTGTTTCTTTCTCTAGAATTTTTTCTTTCTCTAAAAAAGTTTCAATAATAAAATCTATTATGACTTTGAAAATAAGACCTTTGATTATATCTATTATTTCTTCTATAATTATCTCTTTGGTTGGATCATTGTTTAACTTGTCTGATTTTATATTTAACAATAAAATATCTGGTATATTTACAGTAATAACAATGATATGAATCTTTAACTTGAGGTCTGTTAGTATTAAGTATAACTATATAATTAATAAGTAAGGTTGGAGTAGTTGCTGTTGTTATGCTAAGTTAATACTAAGTTTGACAATCTGATTTGTTAGTTGTTTAATAACTTGGTTTGTTTCTGTAATAGTATTAAAAACTATAACATGTCTAGTTTTCTATTACTTTATAATGTTGATAATAGCATTTAGGTTAGCAAGTTTGCTAACTTATATATTTATAAAAAATTTAGAACATAGTTCTTGAATAAATAGTTGTTTCAAAGAGTTTAAAGTATAACACTTAAGCAGAAGTGTTAGATATAGTAATTGATGAGGAACCTTTAGGTGAACTCCTTAAATAGGTAATATAGAAAAATTATATGTATAACCAATTGTATGCTCTTCTATAGTAATTCATTGAATTATATTACCAAAAAAATTGTTAATAAAAGTCAAAAGATCAAAAAGGTTACCTTAATACCAAAAAAAAAAACAAATATTAGTGAAGTTAATTTCAATATTATTAATAACCAATATTCCTATAGTCATTTTTATATAGTTTGTATAAAGTTGTTGATATATGATATGCTAATAGGTTACAGATATGCACCAAGTACCAGTAAGCTATTAGCTAATATATATCAGAAAGTTTTTGCTAGATTTATATAACCTATTATAGGTTTATCTGCTTGCTGATAAGCTACTAAAACTTTATAATCGGACCTGTAAATCTTACTGCTACTAAATCCTTTTCTAATTTTTTTGCCGTTACCTCTATTATGTCTATCATAGACATGTTTTCTAAGCTAATTTCAAAAATTAAGGCATTTTTATTTTTATTGTTTTACGTATTATAATTTTTATTGTAATTTGTTATTCTGCTCTCCAACTGATATCACCTAGGATGAAAATTAGCAATAGTTATCTGAAACTTATTAGAAAATAAACACCTTCACATTCTATATTCACCCGAAATTAAGCACCCCTTTAAATAGTTACTAGTAATTTGTAAATTAATCTTGATCTAAAAAACCTTTATTAAACTTTTTATACAAATAAAAATTTACATTAAAAATTAATTATTGAACGTTCCTGCAATTAGACCTGATTGGTACAGCTTGTTGTACAAATCCGAAAAAAACCTTCAAAATAGGGCCATATGAAAAACGACGTTTATCGCTATCATGGCTTCTATTTTTTCCCGGCCTCTTGGTATAAAATTTTATCTATTTTTATTTTTTATTTTACTTGCAACTTAATACTAATTCTTTTTGTCTTTTCACTGAATTGTAATTACAAGATTTAGTATACTTCATATATTTTATTACTCACATTCTGGCTGCTGTGTTAATTGACACTTATCCTGTTTATAAGTCATTCGCACCCAACGCCTTAACCTCTTTAAACCAATGGTACATTGAAAATTTTAACGATCCATTTTTCGTAAAAAACCCAACATGGTTTGTTTCTTGTTTGTATATTGAGGCTTTGTCAATACCTCTTTTTATTTATGCAGCTATTGGATTATTGAAAGGTAAAGAATGTCTCATTATGTGCTCTAAATATATAAATTTGTTAATTTTTATGAGTTAATATAGATAGTTCGAGTGTTCGTCTTCCGATGTTAATTTATTCCGTACACGTTTCCACTACAACTTTCGAATGTCTTAGTGAGCTTTTCTTTGGAGATCATGAAGGATTATTGAAAAATCAAAGAATTCTTTTATTGACTTTTTATCTTCCTTATTTTATAATACCTTTAATTTGTCTGATAGATTCTTTCGTCAGAATAAGGTCAAATGAATCTGTAGCTTTACAAAAAAAGATTAAATGAACGAATGTTTATATATAAATACAAACGCGTGATATTTTCACGTGATTATAATAAGTATCAGAGTCTACAATATGATAATGAGTAATCATTATAAGCTGCTGAATCTATTTTGTGAGCCTGTATGATGCAATATGCAATACCTGTGTAATGATTTATACCTGTGTTCGTACGTTTGCCCGGACCATGTGATTAATATTGTACATTTTCCCTATATCATCTCGCCAATTTTAACATATTTCTTCTGCACTAGAGTCATCATAAATATTCCTTGATACTCAATATATCCGTTTAACAAGAAATAAATCAACAAAAGTACAGTTGCAAATGTCAACGCCACGTAGAAGGATCGAGACCGATGTAATGAAGCTGTAAGTCGTGCTAGACATACTTTTTTAGTTCAAAGTAAACGCATACTTCGATTGATATCATTCACAACACATTTGAAATCCTTATATGGACTAATTTATGCCTCAAGCCTAATGAGTGACTATGAAGTTACTCTTGTCAATGACAACATGCAAGAATTTTATGTTCGGTTTCACGGTCCCGAAGATAGTAAGTCGAATGTTCTTTAATATAATTGCTTGGCCTTTGACGCTTGATAATATGTCTTATTATATTTTAGCACCCTTTTCTGGTGGTGTATGGAAAGTTCATGTTGAACTACCTGATCAATATCCATTTAAATCACCGTCGATTGGGTTTATGAATAAAATTTTTCATCCCAATATTGACGAACTGTGAGTAGTATACTTTCCATTAGAATCGTTATAAAAACTGTTCGGTTAACGTAAGATTTTAGCATTATTTATTTGTTGATTGCTAATCAAAAACGATTAATATGAATACGAATTTAGAAGTGGATCGGTTTGTCTTGACGTAATTAATCAGACATGGAGTCCGATGTTTGGTGCGCTTTTTACGATGTACATTTTTTTTAGCAACGTTAAATCTGTTTCTTATTGTAAAATATGAAAAATATTCACAGATATGATCAACATTTTCGAGGTTTTCCTCCCTCAGCTTTTGAGGTATCCAAATCCTACAGATCCTCTCAACGGTGAAGCTGCCGCCCTACTAATGAGGGAGCCGCACACATACGAAGTCAAAGTAAAAGGTATTTTATCCCTTTTATAATTTAGTCGTGATTTAGTATCGCTTTTTCAATTCCTCGCTAAATTTATCCTAACTCATAAATTACATAGAATACGTTAGCAGGTTTGCTACAAAAGAAGCAGCAGATGCTGCGACAGACGAAAGTTCTTCTAGTGATGAAGTAAGTTCTGTAGATACATATTCAGATGAAGATGAAAGCCCGGACATGGATATATAACATGGTATCAGGAAATATAGTCCGATAAAATTTTCGTTACGGGATTTATAGTAAGGAGTTTCGTTATTTTACTATGCCAACATATTTACTAGTAATTATTTGTAGTTTCATAGATTTTTTTATGCTGTTTTTCTTTATTATGTTTTTCTTTCTGTTTATATTGATTTCTTGCTATGCATTTTTCCGGTGGTGTAAGTATTAGTTGTGAAAACAGTAATAATGCTTATAATGTTTCTAAAATAAGTATTTCGGGTGTTGCCTTTTCCTGTTTACCATTATAATGAAGAAATAAATGTGAAATATGTTTGGGCTTAAGTATTTTTTACTAGTAGTTAGTCTGAATATTATTTTAGAAATTTATTCTATAGTGTTATAACCAAGGATTATGATCAATAATATTAAGATCAGATATGATGTGAAATTAGAAGCAAATACGGCTTTTTTAAAAAAATAGAAGAAATTATTTTAAATTAAAATATTTAATATTTGATAAAACTTATTTTATAGTTAATTGTAGAAATTTGTGCTAAATAACAAAAGCATTATATATTTATATAATAAAAATTTTGACAAACTAAAATTTTATTATACAATTTATTTTTTAAACTATAGGCAAATTTGTTTGAAAATTTATTAAAATAAATTTATGATTTGGATTAATTTAATTAAATTTTAGATTGCTTGTATATCTAAAATTAAAAATTGTTAATAATTTAAAATTTTGTTTATAAAACTAATTTTAGTATTTAAAAAATTTGTAAAATTACAATTTATATATATTTAATTTATATATATAAGTTTACTAAAACATATCAGTTATTTTTTTATATGGAGTAAGTTAATAAAAAAATATTATTTTTAGTAAAATTTTTTTAATATTAAAAGTGAATATTTGTGATCTAGGCTTTTATTAATAGTATGTTTCAGCTTTATAATTGTATTATAACAGTCACAAAAGGTAACTATAGGAAGAGTATACAACTAGCTACTCATACAACTTTAGTTATTATAGTCTGTTTAAAGGTTCTATACTAGTTGCTATACTTAGAAACCATTTGTGAATTCTTTATTTAAACATTCTAGTTTTTGTATTCACTCATATACCTATTTTACTAATTATTTTAGTTTTTACCAATACAAATATATTATAATTACTAGATCTTTAAAGCAGCTCACTTATATAAAGAATCTTTGATTTTGTATTAAACCTATTAAAGTTTTCTGCTATTCAATTTTTAGTTAATCTAGTATTGTTATAGTTGAAATTAACACTTACAGTTAAAGTAGTTTTAAACTGTTATATTCTTGTAAAGTTTATAGAATCCTAGTATTATTCTTTATAATCTTATTAGTACTTTGTATATTCTTGCAAATTCTTTTATATTACCAATTCAGTTAGTTCTGCATGATATAACTTTATGTTTAATTTACTGATAATTAGATTAATGAATTTCTTTAATTAAAGTTCTTACCTATAAAAATTATTTGTTCCAGGTTTCTGTTTTTAGATTAAGATTTTTATAAATGATATTATTAAAGATTATATTATCTTTCTACTTAGAATTTTCAAACAAGACTTCTTTAGAAAGTATATACTTTTCAGATTTATTTATATAATATTGCATATTTTCTAAGTTAGTTTGTATAATTCACTCTTTCTTTCTTTTGTCTTTAGATATTTTTGTTCAGTTAATTATTAATGCCTAAGTATTGTAGCTACTAATCTTTATTGATCATGTATTTTTCTGCTTGTCTGTATTATTAACATCTTTTCTTTTATTTCACTGAACTATTTGGCTTTTTTTCTTTATATTACAGTTCTTGAAAACTTTTGAGCTGTCTTTATATGATTAGGCTTTCTTCTTTTATGTCTATGAGTTGGTTTAAATATAGCAAACTCTATTTGTTTATTATGCTACTACTTGCTATTTAAGATTTAATTTTGACTAAGTTTCTTATTTTTATTCTATGATCATATACTTTTTATACAGTTTTCTACTCTGATATTTATTTATATCTTTTTTGTCTTAACTATTGTTCAATAAGCTAAGTTGTGTTTTTAATATTTTATTTCTTCTGACCTTTTTTTGAACTCCCAAATATCTTTTATTAAGCCTGCTTTCTGGTATCTTTGAGCTATTTTGAGCCTTGTTAAATCATCTAGAGTATCTTTTTTATTAAGTTTTATAAATAAACTACTTATTTGTTTTGTTGCTATTTCTTGACTTAATAATTTACAGTTTTCTAAATCTTTGTACTCAATTGTGCAATTGTTTATAGTTTTTATTATATTGTACTTATGTTTAGTCAAATATATTATTGGTTGGTGAATCTTGTCAATCATCTTTTTTACATTTTTGTTAATTACAAAAGGTATTCTAATTTTAAAATTATTATTATATTATTTATATATGTAATTTGGCTCATTGTTATTTTTTTATATCTGAGATCTTTAACTGTTTGACTAACTATTTTTTTTACTTTTTTGTAAACTAGCAACTCTCTCATTTTGCTATTTAACCAAATTTCTAATAATTTTACAATTTTGTTTTTTAGTTCTTTTGTTATTTTATTCTGTTCAAATATAATTTTTCTATCTTTTTTTTAGTTTAGAGTTTATTACTATAAGCTTTAACTTAGCTTTATTTATTTCAATATTATTTGCTTTGAAGAATTTCTCTGTGATTTCAAAAATTTTTAGCAATTGATCTTTGCTTTTTATAATCTATATAGTATTATTTGCATAAGCAATTGCTGCTTGTCTATGTTTTGTAATACAATTAATATCTGTATTGTTTAATATTTCTTATTCTACTCTATAGCTTAATAATTTGTCTTCTTAAATCCTTTCTAATAGCAGATTATAAAAAAGCTGTTAGATTAGCAAAGAAATTACCTTTTCTTGATCTATATTGTCTTTTATTATTATTTCTTCTATTAGACTATAAGCTGTAATTACTTTAAGTTATCATTTGCAAAAGAGTTTGATAATGTTTTTTGTAGTATTTTGACTCTTTTAAAGGCCCACTCCAAGCTTTTCATTGAACTGAGTTAAATGCCTTTTTTATATCTTGCAGAAATATCTATATTTTTTTATTTTTCTCTTGTATTTCTTTCATTATTATATTTAGTATATATATTGATTACTCTATTGAGTTGCTAGACAAACCTGCATAGTTTGGACCTTTGAGTTTTCACTCTTCATATATATTTTGGCCAACTTTCTTGTTATCACCTTTGTAACTAACTTTCTAAAGATTTTAATTAGTGCTATTGGTCTAATATTGTTCAGATTATATTTTCAGTCTACATTTTTTGAAAATGAATATACTTGTACTATTTTCTACTTCTTTGGTATTTCATCTGTTTTTAGAATCAGATTTGCAAAAGTTCTAAAAATTTTTTATAATTTCTTTTCTGCTCATTTTATTAAAATATAGCTTATGTCTGAAATTCCTAAAGCTATATTGGCTTTGAGTTCTCTTAATATATCTTTTTATTTTTCTTTTAACTTTTCATACCAGAATTCATTAATCCATTCTTTTGAGTTGTATACTTCTTTTTATTTCTTAGACATTTCTTCTAGCTTGATTCTTTATTTTCTAAATTGATTTTCAAAATGCTTTGTTAAACTATTTAGAATATTCTTAAGTTCTGTTATTAGACTGACTTCTTTTTTGTTTTGGATTATAAATCTGTCAAAAATTGTCTTTTTGTATAGTTTGTTCAATAAGCTAGCAATCATTCATTTTTGATTAGTTTTTATTATTTCACATCTTTTATTTATATTTTTTTTCTATCTATTTTCTTTGTATTTATTTTTACTCTTCTTTCTTTCTGTCTTTCAGAATCTTTTATCAACCTTTTATATCATCTAACCAAGCTTCTGACTATTGTTTGTGTAGCTTTAGTAATACTACTTTTATTTTTTTACCAATGACTTTAAGTTTATTGTTTATCTCTTCTTTTTTTTCTTTTTTTATTTCTTGATTTTTTCTTGTTTTTATTTTTTTTATTATTTGTTGTAGTTCAATTGTGTGTTTACACTGCTATGACTTCTTTTAACAATGTTTTCTGTTTGCCTTTGTGTTGAATATTTTCTTTTTTGGAATTTGTTTATTTGTTACTTCTGTTATAGCTTTTTCTATTACATTTTATATAGTTTAATAAGTCTATACCATATATACTGCTTATTCTATTCTCTTCTAATTGCTTTAGTACTTTTTTCTACTTTAATTATATTTAGAGTTCTTTAATATATTCTTTTCAATCTTCTTGTTTTGCTTTCTTATATAGATATATTATTCTTATTTGGTCTTTATGTTTAATTTTTGTACAACTATAGCTTACAATTACATGCTTTACTCATATTTCTGTTGTTAGTATCTTGTGGTCACTGTCTATTATACCTTTTATTTTTTTTTATGTTGGCTTTCTAAAGGTCAGCTGCATTGTTTCTAACAATCAGATATAGTTAATTCTTGTTGCTATTTCTTAACTTAACTACATATATGCTCTCTCTGTTGAATGCAAGTTTCTAAAAGAGTTTATAAATTCTTGACTCTTAAGCTAGTTAAAGATTAATAGTCTTTTATATTCTATTGTTTATGAATGCAATCTGTCTAGTATGTTAACTGTATGATTAAAATCTCTAAATATAATTATTTCTATATGCTTTCTCCTATTTGTTACTATCTCTACAATTTTTTACTATATTTTTTTACAAATCATTTTGTTATTTGGTAGAATATATATTCTTATTACTATTAGTACTAATTCTTTTTCCTTATTCAATACTACACTTGTCCAGTAATTTTTAAATCTTGTATTAAGGTTATGTAACAGAATTTTCTTTTCTTTTTTTATAATATTTGTTTCTATTATGTTCAGAAGTGCTATTTCTTCTTTTTCTGTTCAGCCTAACAGGTTTTCTAATTTTCAACCTCTGGTCTTCAGTTTATCAACATTGTGATATGCAATTTTTATTTTTTTTCTTCCTT